ATGGTGGGGGGGGGGGGGGGGGGGGGGGGGTTTCCAATGCAAACTTTTTCCAGCCCTTCTGGCCTTAATTTATAAGGTGAGAGCCTTCTTAAAAATTTTCTTGAATGAGAGGCCCACCAAGCCCTCCTTCTGATCGGCCACTGTTAATTGAGATAATATTAGTAGTGTAAGATTACCCTCAGTGGTATCAAATCGGTATAATTTCTCCAGTCCAGTCCAAACGCTCTCGTTATGTTCAAAGATTGATCGACAACTTATTTCTCCTTACGGTATAACAGGCGAGTGATCGAGTGACGAGAACAAAGAAGCTCGTCAACCTAGGAATATATAGAAGGTTCATAAACTACCAAATTCTACAAACCAGCAGCGTCAATCTTTAGTCAGGAGAGTCGTGTTTTTGACCTTGAGATCAATGATTTCTTATATCAAGTCACAAATGTGGGCAAAGCTGAGTGAAGACCTTAGAAAGTCAGACACCCTTAACAAGTTTAAAAGTCCGCTAAGAACACTGATCTTGACCGAACTCATCAGCGAAAATTGTACCAATTGTTTTTTTTAATGTTCTGACTAACCTTGCCTTGTACATTAGGAACAATTTTATATGATTGGAATTTTAATCAGATTAGCATAGGTTAACTCATGAGCCAAAATTGTAAATAGTTGTCTTTTATGCTGTAATTAACGATGTCCCGTATATCTTTTTACGATTGGAATTTTACAATTCTTATTAGTATAGGTGTCCCCAATTGGCTTACTGTATTACAGTGAGCTAGAATTTTGACACGTTGATAGAGTTATTTAATTTATTTATTTTATTTTATTTATCCGCAGAATTTTTTCGAGATTGTCAGCGGTTTCACGGCGATACAAAAATTTCCTCTGTTTTACAGCGCATATCAGATTTGAATTCTTCTTTTTCTTTTCCTTTTTCAACAGACAACAGAGAATCCTTTCCTGTTTATTGTGACATGGGTGCTGCAGGTTAGTATCAGACGGAAGCTTCCTAATCCGAAAGTATATTACCCTCGTTCCCATGACAATTTCCTCTCCTTCCCGTTCCCTGGAGCGAGAGAGAGAGACGTGAAAGAGAGGATACTGAGAACGAGTTTGAAAACTTATGGAAAGAGCCTGCTATTACTAAGCGTGTGTGGCGGTACTCTTATACTTCACCGTAACCAAATTTACAATTAGCCAATCAGAAGGTGGCAATTGGCAATTAGCCAATCAGTTAGGTGTCCCCAATTAGCCAAATTGGCAATTAGCCAATCAGTTGGGTGTCCCCAGTTAGCTAATGTATAGCTAAATGCACTGACACGTTAATAAAGTTTTCATTCATTCATTCACTCATTCATTCATTCACTCACTCACTCACTCACTCACTCACTCACTCACTCACTCACTCA